TTATTGGCAAGGGGTTCCTGCTTTCATGGCACATGCTGTATATTTTTGTTGTGCATAATGGGATCATGGTGGCCATTTTTTGGGTGGTGAATTTTACTTCAGTTTACATCATGACTTATAAGTGTTTAAGGAGCAGGAGTAAAAAGGAGACTTTGTAGTGTTTCTTGAAAACGTTCCAAACAGAGAAAGTCCTAAATGGACCCAGCAAAAGTCAATTGACAGAAAATGACTGACCAATTCGGCTGTAAGACCTCCACCCATGGCCAGGTCCAACAAAATGCTACAAGCCTTTATGTCGCAGAAACAACTCCATAATGTTTGGAAACTCCATCATCCCACTACTCTGGATTTCACCTTTTTTTCTCACCCACATGATTCTTACTCGAGAATTGACACGTTTCTGATTTTGCCCTCACCAACACATGCATAGGTTCGATCACATGGTCAGATCATGTTGACATTCTACTCACCATTACACTACCACACATGACCACTGGTCATGGTGACTAAACCCTACCTACCTTCACATTCCACAAATCCAAGACACAATTAGGGAAGACATCACCAATTACTTCACCATTAATAAGGGTGCATTATCATCTGCCGGCATACTTTGGAGTGCCCATAAAGCGGTTATTAGAAGCAAACTGATAGAAGCAGCATCTGCCCACAAAAAAACAGCTCACAATCCTTGAATAACACTTATCAGTTAGATCCCTAGTGACCAAGCACAAACTTAATCCTACACCAGAACTTACGTCCCAACTTCATACAGGCTATACAAACCTTTCTGTCACAGGAAACCAAAAAAGCTTTACAATGGACAAGACAATTTTTTTATGAGAAGACTGTGCAAAAGGATACAAAGCAAACACATTTCTAAAATCACAGCACTGGATGGTCAGGAACACGATATCCCGGATGAAATTGCCTCTGTTTTCCATAACTTTTATTAACCTTATTTGACCACAACTCGCAGTCCAGACTGGACAGCGATACCACGAAAATGGCTATAGATGAGTTCCTAGGATCCATGCTCTGTTAGGTGATATGTCTCTCATCCACACAGGTTCATCCAGGGCCGGTGCAAAAATGTTGCCGCCCCATTTGCTCCACAGTGGTCATATAGGTTTAATCCCACAAGATAAAACATTACCGGTACCTTGAAGGGTTAAAGGGATTCTACAGTGCCAGGAAAATAAACCCTGGCACTGTAGAATCCTGGAGTGCCCCCCTCCCTCCCGCCCCCATCCCATGTCACTGAAGGGGTTAAAACACCTCCAGCTACTTACCTGAATCCAGCGTCGCTGTCCCTCTGAGCTGGGTCAGGCTCCGCCTATGCTCCTCCCCCGCCGACGTCAGCCGGCGGGGGAGACCTAATGCGCATGCGGCAATGGCCACGTGTGTATTAGTCTAGCAGACAGCCACTGGAGGCAGACTTAGAACTGCAATGTAAACAATGTTTTACATTGCAGCACTAAGTGCAAAATGGTCACAGCACCCAGACAACTTCAATTAGCTGAAGTGGTCTGGGTGCCAACAGTGTCCCTTTAAACAAGACTCTAGTGGCGGTCACACTGACAGCCACTAGAGACACCTCCGCTACAATGCCATGTAACTATGGGAAGCATTGGAAGTGCATAGTGCCTACCACTTATGCGCTTCAGGTCACCAATGCTCCTGTATGAGGAACGTTGGATTGGACCAGCATTGCCCCATTAGTGACATTGAGCAAGGTAAGGAGGCAAGCAGTGCAGACGGAGTCTTGGTGCTTGATAATAATTAGCCCCCCCCCACCATCCTTTTTTTCTTTTTAACTAAATTTTATGGTGGGGGGAACTTGAATCTATGCACTATAGTATTTGGAATACAGGTTTAGATTCCTAACACTGTAGTGTTCTGTTATTAGTATTGCTTTTTAAAAACAAGGAAAACTGATGACAACATGCATGTACATGTAGATCACCTCTTGAACATGCTCATGCAAATTGTCTAGAAGGCCAGCAAATTGATATGTTTTTCACTTAAAGGGACACGCTAAGCACAAAAACTTCTTGAGATTATGATGTGGTCTTGGTGTATAGATCATGCCCCTCCAGTCTAACTGCTCAGTTCTCTGCAATGTAATAGTTAAATCCCTTTGTATACCGCCCTAACCACCCCTAGAAGTCACTCACAGTGTCTTCCTTCACTTTCCCTGTGTCTAAATGTATTAGCTTCCATTACTGCATAGTGTGTTTAATTTATAAAACATTTTATCTCCTTATTGCCTGCTAGTCCCTGCAACAGCCTCCCTCCAGAGCAGGAGATACGAGTGTTTACTGTAAATACACTGTCTGCTATTCTGTGAGTCATAGCCAGGGGAGGTATGGATAGGGCAACATAAACATAAACAAAGTGTTTTGATGCTTAGAGTGTCCCTTTCACTCTACTTGTTAAACTGTGTGTGTGCTAATGACTGTGTATCGGTCAGTGAGTGTATGTCAGTGTATGCACCAATGAGGGCGTTTGTCTATCAGGCAAAGAGCGTGTTGTTGTTTTTTTAAAAGGAAGAGAAATTTAGAAGGGGCAGGAGGGTGTTTTTTGTCATTAGTGATGTCCCGAACGGTTCGCTGGCGAAAAGTTCCTGGCGAACATCGCTTGTTCGCGTTCGCCACGGATGGCGAACATATGCACTGTTCGTTCCGCCCCCTATTCGTCATCACTAAGTAAACTTTGACCCTGTACCTCACAGTCAGCAGACACATTCCAGCCAATCAGCAGCAGACCCTCCCTCCCAGACCCTCCCACCTCCTGGACAGCATCCACTTTACATTCATTGTGAAGCTGCATTCTTAGTGAGAGGAGGGACAGTGTAGCTGCTGCTGATTTGATAGGGAAATTGATAGCTAGGCTAGTGTATTCAGTGTCCACTACAGTCCTGAAGGACTCATCTGATCTCTGCTGTAAGGACAGCACCCCAAAAAGCACTTTTTAGGGCTAGAACATCAGTGTGCTTTTTTTTTCTGTGTAATGTAATTGCAGTTGCCTGCCTGCCAGCCTGTGTGTCAGGCTCACAGCATATACTGTGTGTAGCGGATGGCACTGGGCTGTCCTGCAAATGTCTTTGAAATAATTGCATTCGTGTGATCTGCTAGTTTTCTATGTGTTTTAAAAGCCTTGTATTCTTCTGATTGTTCGGTAGTTTCATTCCCTTAGTTTATTCGAATGAAAATACCGAACAACCAGACCTCCCCTGTGTAAAGTGTGTCCTCAATTACCCGTTGCAACATTGTTGCGAACGGGTAATTGACTAGGAAATAGCTGTCCTTTGTTCTCGGGGGTGGCCGCCATTCGACAGAAGAACACGTGGCGGCGGCATTTTAAAACTCCCGAACAGCGGTGTTTTGCCGTCGAGTGTCTGGACCTAAAATCGGAAACTCGAGTAGGCGAACACCGCTGAGACATCCACAAACCTGGTCCGTTCGGTTCCAAACTACCGAACGGCCCCTCGTTCGGTAGATAGAAAATACCGAACGAGGGGATTCAGGCGAACCCTCCCTAGCCTCTATAGCTAGAGGCTTTCGTGTATTTTGTTCCCTTATGCCAGGACCGACCGCAGGGCCCATTCGTATGGAACCGTATTCGGCTATCTCAGTTCGTGCGGTCGGTCATTTTATTCCCTCCATACATTTCCCGAACCCCTGGTCTGATCTGGTTAATTTTTGGATATGTTGGTCCCCCAGATCATGGAGAGTGATTATGCCAAGCTTAAAAGATCCACGCTAAAAGATCTCCTGGAAGCGAAAGGTATTGCAGCCAGCAACAAAAAGAAAGCAATCCTCATTGCAGAAGTGATGGCTGAATACCAGCAGGAGGACAGAGTAATCCCTGAGCAACAGAGTACAGCAGATGGAGCTGAAAAAGAAGAGTTCCGGAGAGAAGTGCAGTTCAGGCTGTCCTTTTATGGAGAGAATCCAACAACGGATATTATATCCAGGACAATGACAGAGGTGCAGGAGTTTATACTGCGTCAAAGGCCACTACAGCAGCTGGAGAGGAATGCTACCACAGCTACCATCACACAGGGTAAGACAAAAATTCCTTACCAAGCATTTAAAACGTATGTAGAAGCAGAGGAGGATATAGATGTTTTTCTCCAAGACTTTGAAAGGCTGTGTGCATTGCATAGTATTAGCCCAGACGAGTGGGTGCCTATTTTAGCAGGGAAGCTCACAGGGAAGGCTGCTGAAGCCTATAGAACTGTACCTGATGAGGAAATTCGGAATTACCGCAGAGTAAAAGAAGTGATCCTGGCCCGATATGCAATCACACCAGAGGCATATCGGCGGCGGTTTAGAGACCTAAAGAGAAATGATAAGGACTCTCATGTGGAATGGGCTTGCAAGTTGCATCGGGCCGCTCTGGGGTGGATACAGTCCAATAAGGCTCGGTCCATGGAGGACTTGTTACAAATGGTGTTGTTGGAACAATTTTATGAGGGGGTAACCGGCGATATCCAGGAATGGGTGAGGGACAGAAACCCTACCTCCCTCACCGAAGCTGCCAGGAAGGCAGATGAGTACTTGGATGCACGCAGGCAGCAGAAACCTGCAGCCCCAAAACCCATTTTTAAAACATTTGGGGGAAACAGCTACAACCCAGCTCCACCGAGGCAACTGCCACCACCACCACCACCCGCTGCACAGCCACATTTTCGCCAGCCCGCTTCTGGCCCCTGTCATCACTGCCAGAAGTGGGGACATTATAAAAGGGAATGTCCCCAGCTGAGGGATCGTTCTACCTGGATTCGCCCCGGCCCACCACCACCGCCAAGAGCAGCCGCCGCCCATCACTACCAAGATATAGTGGCCACACCATATGGGTCAGCCATTCCCATAACAACCGTGGAACAGTGGGAAGTACTGCACGAGGCGGATCCAGTCCAGGCCAATGCGGATAACAGACAGCATCACAGGCAGACCGTGTACCTGGAGGGTAAAGCGGTACAGGAACTACGTGATTCGGGGGCTACTATCACCTTGGTAAAAAGTCACCTGGTGTCGGATCAAGCGAGACTGAGTAAAACTGTGGCTGTCAGGGTAGCCGGGGGAGCAGTGTACCGGCTACCTACAGCAAGGGTACATTTACATTGGGGAGCGGGGGCAGGACATGTGGAGGTGGGGTTGATGCCGCAGTTACCGGCGGAGGTATTGTTGGGGAACGATCTGGGGAGGCTCACGTCTGCTTTTGAGCCCCAGACGTCCACCACAGGAGAAGCTCACCCTGTGGTCACCCATCAACAGGCCCGCACCCAGGACTACAACACACTCCCGGAGGTTCAGGTAAGAGACCCTTCCCCTTCCCTTGACTGTGTCCCCTGGGCCCCTCCTAACGAATTTGCAGCGGAGGTAGTGACTGACCCCACCTTGCAGGTATACAGGGACAAGGTGACAGCAGACCCTCCTGGGGGAGAGGGGGAGAGATTTGTCTGGGACAAGCAGCTTTTGTACAGAGAGACAGACAAGCAGATTGAGGGGTCAGACCCAATAGTGATGAGGCAGCTAGTGGTGCCGCAGCGGTACCGAGCAGAGCTACTCCGGATAGCGCACGATATTCCGCTATCCGGACATCTAGGGGTCAGCCGCACTAGGTACCGACTGACCCAAAGTTTCTTCTGGCC